GTGGGCGCAACGCCGAGGGTTGCGATCCCGTTGCCAGTCCCGGTCCGGTACGGGTGCGACACTGAGGGTTGCGATCTGTTGCCGGTCACGAAAAAAGACAAAAAGGAAAAAAAAAAAAAAAGAAGGAGTGATGAGCCAAGATTTGAAGGGGTGAGAGGGTTCCCTAAGGGAAGAGTATTCTTAAATAAAAAAAAGATACGGCAAAGACCCTAAATTGGACAATGCTGGAGAACTTGAGGAACATCAGGGAAGTTATGGTAGAGTTCTGGGAGTGGGGGATTAAAAGCACAAGAGGTCAGAGAGATTACAGAGGGCCATATCTTGCCAGACCTGTAAGCTATTGTAAGCATTTTGGATTTTATTTTGAGGGATATGGGCAGCCATTGGAGAGATTTGAGCAGAGGACATACACATGAGGCTATTGTAATACAAAAAAACAAAAGCACTAAGTACATAAGAGTAAGAGGCTCTGACAGTGATTTGGAGAAAGATGATGATGACATAGACCGCGTTGGTAACAATGGGTATGGTGAGAAGCAGTTGTATCCTCATGCCATAGAGCAAGCAAGATTTGCTTAGGGTTTTGATGTCAGTTGTGAAAGAAAAGTCCACCTAGGGTGGCTTGGACTCAAAAGTATTGGTTCTGAGCAACAGGAAATACAGTGTTTCCATCCACTAAAATGTGAAAAGCTGCAGTTCCTAGCAGGTTTGTGAGGAAAATTGAAAGTTAAATTTTGGACATGTTGAGCTTGAGATGATATTGAATAGGTACCTGGAAGAAATAGTTTGTGTTACGCTTGATGATATATTAATTTGGTAGTTATTGCCTGTAATTAGTTAATATGAAGCAAGATAAGATAATTAAGAATTTCAGTGTCGATAAAGAACAGCAAGGACTGAGCTTGGTGCATTAAGAGTTCAAGGATAGGGCCGGCCCGGTGGCGCACTGCTACAGTGCGCCGCTTGGGAGCGCGGCAGCGCTCCAGTTCAAGGATAAAAGGACAGACCGTTAAAAGAGCTAAGAAAAACTATTCAGATGGAAGGAAAACAGACTGAAATCACAAAATCCAAATGAAAGTGAATCAGATAAAGACCAATGGTATAAGATAACCTTGGTTAAATAAATATGNCAAATGAAAGTGAATCAGATAAAGACCAATGGTATAAGATAACCTTGGTTAAATAAATATGAGGACTGAGAATTGGCTACTGAATTTAGTAATATCAATGTTATTGGTGACCTTGAGAAAAGTTTTTCTTTTTTGATGGATTAGCTTCTGAGTGATACATGTGAAACCTTGATAAAAGAGAATACAAGTTAAAGACAAGTCCTCAAGTGAAGGTGTCGACTGGAAACTGACTGACCCTGAGTTTAGTGCCTCCCTTAGACCTAGGCCTAGCAGGCCCCTGCTCTGGTCTTAATCCCCAGGGGCCTGTGATTCTGAAGAGTGCTTTCTGGGGAATGTTGATAACAGTACAAAGATAAGTAAATACAAGATAGAGCAAAGGTCATGTTCCACATGTAAACCTGGGATCCTAGGAGGACAAATGGAGTGAGAGTGCGTTTTCAGAGGCAGTATTTGGCTACTCCAAGACTGGCAGTGGGGCCAAGGCATGTGGCCAAGGGGCACAGAAACTGCCCTGCCCTCCAAGAAAGCCAAGGAAAAAGGAAACCAGAGCTGGGACTGGATGAGGAGCTGTGCTGAAGGCCACTCCTTGTTCTTAGAACCTTGCAGAGAAGACAAAGTAGGTCTCTGAAAGGAGCAACCCACCCTTCACCACCAAACGTCACAACCCCACTGGGCCCAACCCACACCCATTCTTTTTCT